CTCACGAAGGCCGTGTCGTCCCCGGTCGAGGCCCGGATCTCGGCGATGGCGCGCTGGCGCAGGTTGGCCAGGTACGCGCCGGGGATGCAGACGATGCGCGACCCCGTGCGGTACCGCCAGCCGTCGTACAGCTGGTGCGCGATGAAGAGGTACTTGCGCCACCCCGTCAGCTGCTTCTCCGCGTACATGTACTTGGTCGTGGACTGCGGGTCGGTGCCGAAGCTCGCCAGCGGGTCGTGGGCGTAGCCGTGGAATGCGGGGATCTCGTCCTCGCGGCCCTGCAGGACGAGCGCCCACGAGCGGTAGATCTGCGCCCCGCCGGTGCCATCGGTGAGGGTGTGCGGCAGCGAGATGGAGACGAGGGTGGAATCCCTGAACGAGGCAATGTGCAGGCTCAGCTGCGGCACGTCGCGCGTCAGGTAGTCGTGCAGGGTCTTGGGGGCGTCCGCGCTGGTGGTTAAGGGGTCGAATTCGGTGGGATCGGCCACGACGGCGGGCTTAGCGGTCGGTCGGGGGAGGCGTGAGGCCAAGGGGTGCTCGAGGATGGAGGTTTCGTAGGAGGCGTGCGAGTAGTTCACGATGGGGCGTTTGGCGTCGTAGTACTCCGGGATGTGGTATTCGAGGCCCCCGTTTTTCTGCGGAATTTCAGCTACGGTCCTTATCTAAGCTTGTGAATGTAGTGAACGTACATTCAAGCGCAGCCGTGCTCCGATCTTGCGCCATCCAGGTCGGTCGAGCAGTCTCTCGAAAGACGCCCGAAGCTTCTCCGGGTCCAGCACGTCGTCGAACCGGTAGGACAGCACCACGCACACACTGCGTAGCACTTCCGTGTCGTCCGCGGCATTCAGCGGGATGACCGTGTCCGTGGAGACGCGAGCAGGCTGGGCTGGTTCACTGCTGCTGAATAGTCCAAACATGATGCTGGGTGTGCGGTTGAAGCAGGGCTGTGGAAAGCTCGCAGGACAGGAATGAGAGCGCAGGGTGTGGTGGTCATGTCGTGTCTTTCGACTTCCTTAGCGCTTTCGGTGATTTATGGCCGTGACCAGATATTGTCATCCTGTCAGCAATGCTAAGCAGTGGAGATATTGGACGCTGTCTGTGTCTCCGATTTGTTGGTCGGGAATTTTTGGGGATGATCGGGAATATCCAGTGAGGCAGCCCACCGCGTAGCCCTAACTCACCCTCTGTTGACTTCCTCGCAAGACAGACCATGTCCATCGCGGAGGTTCTGATCGACAAACTATGGTTACATCTTTGCCGTGGGCCTTAGGGCTCTGTGGCGATACTGATCGGACATATCGCACGAACAAAATACCGATCGCCATGTCATAGTTCGATAATGCATCAGCGAAGGCTATGAAAGCAACATCTTGGCAGCAGAGACAAATAGAAGACCGCCCAGTCGCGGTAGCGATCTGATCCGATCCCCACGCTCGTCGTCTCAACCTGGATACAGATACAGAAGCTTGTGTCAGTATGGAGTTTGACCTCGGTCGGAATCTGTCCGCCCCTGCACCGGGCATTGTGCCCATCGCAGATTCGCGGTCCTACACTGTAACTCTAGCCGCTTTATGGATCCCCATCTTCATTGCAATCTCGCTACTGTGGTATGGACGACTGGAGAGTCCCCTGGCTCATGTGCCCCTCGTGTCCACCGGGAAGTCCTCGTTCTGGGATATCGGCCACAAAAAAGCTAAAGAGAGCTTCGCGGCCAATGCGCGCAAGATTGTTGCCAAGGGGTTTCAGCAGGTACAATGCCTATTCTGGAATTGAGTTAAGATGGTGGCTGATGAGTGGCTAGGTTGGCAACACAAAGCCGTTCAGGGTCATATCCGATCTCGGAGAGATGCTGGTCCTACCGCCGTCGATGGCGGATCAGGTGCGCAACATCGATGCGCTCAGTCACGGGGAGTTCATGAAGGAGGTTTGCCATCGTGCTTTCTCGGTAGCAAGACGCTGTCCGACTGACTGGAGTGTCTAGTCCACATGTGCGGAAGTCCATGGATTCGAACCGTTTTTTGAATCCACTGGGCACAGTTTGCTGGCTGATATGACCAAGACGAAGTTGATGGGCTCGCTGAGTATGTTCTCAGTTCCGATGGGTCGAATCTGATCCTAATACTAACCCTGAGCTAGAACAGCTGACAGACCCTGTCAATGAGACAGCAACCCAAGCGTGCAAAGATCTCTTCCCTGATGACGACGGTAAGCTCACTCACTCCTCTCTATCAGACTTGACAACGTACCACCTAACAAGGACATAGATTGGCACGAAGTGGTCCTCAAAGACATTCTCCTCGAGATTATCGCCCGGATGTCGTCCACCATCTTCTTGGGCGATGAGGAGGTTCGTCATGACAAGGCCTGGCTCCGCCTCACCAAGGAATACACAGTGGACTCCTTTCTCGCCGCGCACCAGCTGCGCACCTATCCGCAGTTCCTCTGGCCTGTCCTGGCCATGCTCTTCCCGCAGGCGCGCAAGGTCCGCGACCAGCTCCGACAGGCCGAGGCGATCATCCGCCCGCTCATCGAGCGGCGACGCGCCGAGAAAGCCGCCGCGCTGGCCGATCCGAGCATCAAGCTGCCAGAGCGGTACGACTCGATCGAGTGGCTGGAGCAGACTTCACAAGACCGCAAGATCCCGTACGCCCCCGTAGCAATGCAGCTGACTCTCGCTCTGTCGGCCATCCACACTACCACCGATCTCATCACGACGACCATGTACGAGCTCCTGCGGTGCCCGGAGGTGATTCGACATTTGCGGAAGGAGGTGGTTTCCGTCATGGGGAGTGGAGGGATCAAGCATTCGGCGCTGTACAACCTCAAGCTCATGGACAGTGTGATCAAAGAGGCGCAGCGAATCAAGCCTGCTTTATCAAGTAAGTCCCTGCCTATATTTCCCAGCAGTTCCTTTCCTATCGACACAAAAAGCACACCCCTGACCCAACTTCAATCGGTAGTCAACATGGTCCGCAAAGCCACCGCAAACATCACTCTCCCCGACGGTTTTCGCATCCCCAAGGGCACTATGCTGGGCGTCTCGCACCACGGCGCGTGGGACTCGGCCGTCTTCCCCGAGGCCGACAAATTCGACGCCTTCCGGTTCGTGCGGCTGCGCGAGCAGCCCGGCAACGAGAACCGGTGGCAGTTGACCACCCTCCGGTCGGAGCATATTGCCTTCGGGCATGGACTGCACGCGTGTCCGGGGCGGTTCCTGGCCGCGAATGAGATTAAGATCGCTCTGTGCCATTTGCTGATGAAGTTTGAGTGGAAGGTCGCTGGGGAGGTGAAGCCCAGGATCATCGAGAATGGGATCTTCTTGGATTCAGACCCAGGGGTTAGGGTCTTGGTCAGGAGGAGGAAGGGGGAGGTCGAAGTTTAGATTGCTGATTGCTGTGGGAGTTCTGGGGGAGTGAGCTGATGTCATGTCTGTGGTAAGCGATATGGTAGCAATACTTATCTCGGAAATTGCATTGCATTGAGTTGTTATGACGTATCCTGTTGAGATGTGTGAGGCACGGCTTTAGCAAGACATCTGGAATGATGAGGGGTTAGAAGCTACCTAAACATTAAATAGATATGGAGAAGAAGCTATCCTGTCAGTAGTTTGACTTGGCCAACTGATCGGTATTTGATATCGGCCTAAACACATGACCTGGACCAGCACGAGCCTGAAGGTTACATTGTGGTTCATCAGAGCATGACTACAGAGTGTACGTAGACTTCATTATCCTCTAAGCCCTCGTCAAGCGTAGGTCGTAGATCAGCTCCTTGAAGCTCCCTGCAACTGTTGACTGAGCTGAAATGGCCTGCAGTGCTCCACCACCCTATGCCGTCTTAGCGCACAGAAGGGTTGAGAGAATTGTGGTATTAGATTAAATAAACATGTAGCGAAGACGTAAAACCTATATCCCTGATCCCAATCCCGAAAAATTCAATTATTTCCCTCCAGGTATCCTAAGTAAGTATCCTTGCTGCTGGGGCCGCCCCAGTGCTGGCATCGTGCCACACGGATTCCACCTGCCTTTGCGAGCCTCTTGTCACGCACTCCAGGTCTTTGAAATTGAAAATTCCCCAACTGCGCAGCCAGACATTAGTGAGAATCAAACAAAAAAAGAAAAAAATGGGGGGGGGGGGGGGCGAAGAGCAAAAAGCCAGAGTAAGTAGTAAGCAGGAGACTCACGAGGTCATCGTAAAACGAGGCGGGTGCGTGGCTGCTGCTGGCATTTCGCAACGGCTGCAAAAGCGCATCAGACAGATGGCGAGGTGCTGAGCATTTTTGGATGGGCCCCGGTCGAATCGCGGCCAATCCTCGGCATCTTCGGGATACTCATACTTAGGTTCCTCGATGGGATACGGATAGGCGGAGGAGTAATAGGGAGCATGGTCGGCGTCCCCTTCCAGGAACATTCCTGTATGAGTGATCTTGACCTGCTCGAGATGAGCGGGCAACAACCGATGATCCATTGCGCCGAGCGGCCCATAAATCGCATTCAGCGCCCGGCGGCGAGCTTTCCTCTCAGCAAAGATTTAGTCTTCTGACTGCATCTTGCCGATTTCGTAGCGAAGAACAAAGCTTTGTGACAAGAGAGAGAGAGAAGGTGAGATGTGAAGCGAAGAAGAAAGGAATGGATGGCGCGTATGCAGTCGTGGTCACGTGGTTTGGGGGATTCCTGCCCGAGGCATCAACCCTGAAACGCGGCCATGCGCATTCTTCGTGCCCAAGGGTGCCATAAGAATTTCATTGCTGTGGGAAGTCAGAGCTGCTCAGGAGTAGCCCGGGTCCTGAGCCTAGATGTATTAGAGTACGCAACTTTGAAGCGTGGGACATACAACTTAATCTATACAGGACATAAAATGGCTCCACATCAGAGGATGATCACGTAGCCGAGATAGCCACTCTGGGAAAAGACCACTTACTCTTTACTCTAGACCAAGATAGTAACGTGATACCCCTAACCAAGCCCACTACCGACGGGACGCTCAATCTAGCTCTGGATCTAAACTCTACACAGCCTCCCTTTGGAATCGACCTCCCACGCAGCACTCCCCACCGCCGTCTTTGCATAAAACACATGCGCTGGATCATACTTCTCCTTGACCTCAAGCAACCGTGGATAATTCCTCCCATACAGCTCCACCTCCCAATCCCCCTGCCACTGCGCATCGATCTCATTCAGGTATGTCCCCGCACCGGGCGTCGCCCGCTCCAGCCCCGGGATCAGCGTGTCGACCAGCTGCGCCTTCCGGGCCTGCATTTGTTGTGGGGATACATTCCAGTCCCAGTAGCTGACGATGTTGCACGTAGCGATAGCGTCACGCCAGGCGGGGAGGACGGCGTTGTCTGGGTGGGGGATGTCCTTCACGTTGAGGGCGTGGCATCCCAGCGAGAGATCTGGGTCGGTCTCGACAACGGCGCGCAGGGCAGCGACGATGGCTTGGTTCTGCATGATGCTCTGCATCCCGGCGCGGGGGATAAGGCGCGATGTTAACTGCACCGTGGCGGGGCCGGCGCCGGCGATGCCCGGGCCAAACCGGCTGGCGAAGTAGTCGTGGTAGCTCGGGGAGGTGGTGGGCGTGAACGAGTAGGGGATGTCCCGCTGGGTAAGGCGGGCGAGAAACGGCTTTAGCAGATCCTGCACTTGTGTGCCGTTTCTGTCTGGCACGGTGATGGCGTAGGCTTCGAAGCCGGTGGCCGTCAGTGCGAAGTCCCACGTGTTGGGGCCAGCGTCGACGAATTGGGGCAGGAACTGCCACAGATCGGAGATGGCGGACCAGTAGGGCTCTGGGTTGGTGGCAGAGATGTTGAAGAACAGCAGGCCGCTGCCTATGGGCCCATCGACGAAGATCTTGGTTGTCATGCTGAGCACCACGGCGAAGGTCCCCGGACCCCCACCGCTGAGCGCCCAGTATAGGTCGGCATTGTTGTACGGCGTTGCGACGAGGTGCTCCCCCTGCGCGGTGATGACCTCCCATTCCAGCACCGCGTCGGCGCCCATCCCGTAGGCGCCGTTGAGCAGCGAGTGTCCCCCCCCTGAGGTGTAGCCCCCGGCTAGCCCGACGGTGGGGCATGTCCCTCCCAGAATGCGATAGCCCGCTGCCCCGAGGATGGAGTAGACTTGCCCGCTGATCACCCCGGCACCCAATCGGGCGGCTGGCCCGGTGTAGTTGGCACTCGAGTACGAGGGGAGGATGTCTGTCGTGTTGAGGTTGTGCGTCCACAGGGAGAGGGCGCCTGTTCCAGTGGATTTGCCCATGAAACTGGTTGGGTTAGATACAGTCTTCTCGATCAGGGAAACTAGGGCCGTACTCATGACCGGTATTCTTGATTACCAGCCGGATGTTATTTTCTCGCGCGAAGGCAACGCCAGCAATCACATCGTCGGCGCCGGTGACATTAATGGAATAGCTGGCATAATTGCCTAAAATGCATGGTTGAGAGGCTGGAGTGAACGGAACACAGGTGTAGTTCTGTACGTAAGGGTTCATGACCTCTGCTGGATGGTCCAGACTAGGCATAGGTCAGTTGCAACATGGTATACATGCAGACAGATGTACTGACAAGGTAGTATCGTCCAGCCATGTGGTCTTGAGGGCACTGCAGACATCCGCGTTGTAGTTACCGAACGGCTCGCTGTGGCAGACGCTGGGCAGGGGGGTCGTGGCAATCAATCGGCCGTGAACCGTCTCATTGAGGGCGTACCATTTGTCGAGCGAGGGCCAAGAAGCGTCCCCAGGAATGGCGCGGCAGGAGGCATTGGAAGCAGACCGGGGGAGGGTTACACTGCGCCCAGCAGCCAAGCCGAGTAACACAGTCCACAGTATGGGTTGCATGATGCACGATTGTGATTATCCTGGTTCTTGGAATCTGCTTAGATCTCAGACAAGCAGATCTCCATGTTCTCGAGTAGAAGAACAGGATTCCATCAGTTGATGAGGTGCATCGCAGCAATTCGGGTTAGGGTTGCGGACAGCCCAGAAATTCCCGAGAACCACTCGGGAATTGTGACGCGGCGTCATGGATGCTCCGGAAGTGAGCATGAATTCCTCTTCTGCCTAACTGCTGACCTCGGGAGATTGTAGTGAACTGCCGATACCGATTTCGTTGCTCTTGGAGAGACTTGGTTTATCATTTGAGAGGCTGGGCCAAAGCCCCGCCCCTCACTGTTCGTCTTCGAATACGCTCCATCCACAAAACACAGTAAAAGCTTCACAATGGGCAAGCCAAACGCCATCCCTGAGCCTCCGGGCTGGCCTATTTTGGGCAATTTGCTAGACATTGATATGGAACTGCCCCTTCAGTCGTTGTATAACCTGGCGGACAAACATGGTAGGACTGCCGCCTTCAGGGACTATAGTTAGGGCTGACCAGGCTAGGCGAGATCTATCGAATGCGCTTCCCAGGAGGCCATACTTTCATCATCGCCAACAGCTATGCAATGGTGAATGAGTTCTGTGATGAGAGACGCTTCCCAAAGACCATTTCAGCTCTGAGAGTAAGTATTTCTTTGCGTCTCATCGTGCCATCAACTAATATACCCCCAGGAAATGCGACACGCCATGCACGACGGCCTCTTCACGGTAACTCCTCACCACCCACCAACCAAACCGTCTAAAACTAAGATTCCAGGCCATCGATGGACAAGTCGAGCCCAAGTGGGGCATCGCCCACCGAATCCTCGTGCCAGCATTTGGCCCCTCGTCGCTGCGCAACATGCTGGACGGGATGTACGACATCGCCAGCCAGCTCGCGATGAAGTGGGCGCGCCACGGCGCGGACAGCCCCATTACGGTGACCGATGACTTCACGCGGCTCACTCTCGACACGATTGCTCTCTGCTCGATGGACTTCCGCTTCAACAGCTACTACAAGGAGGGGACGCACCCGTTCGTCGCCGCCATGAGCGACTTCCTGACTGAGAGCGGCGACCGCGCGCGGCGACTGCCCATCCCCGCCTTCTTCTACCGGGGCAAAGACAAGAAGTTCTTTCAGGATATCGAGGTGATGCGTACAACGGCAGATGAGATCCTGCAGGAGCGCAAGCGGGAGAAGAACTTGGATTCGCGCAAGGATCTGCTGTCGGCCATGCTGAACGGGGTGGATCCCAAGACTGGGCAGAAGATGACCGAGGAAAGTATCCTGGATAATCTGATCACATTCCTCATTGCGGGGCATGAAACGACCTCGGGTATGCTATCGTTTGCCATGTATCACCTCCTGAAGCATCCGGAGATGTATCGTAGGGCGCAGAAGGAGGTCGAGGAGATTTGCGGGAAGACGCCGATCCGGTTTGAACATTTGTCCAAGCTTTCTTATATCTCTGCTGTGGGTTGCCTCGTCTGCTCTGGGACTCACCAAGACTGACACTTGCAGGTCCTCCGCGAGACTCTCCGTCTCACGCCACCCCTCCCGGTCTTCAACGTGGCCGCCAAAGAGGACGAGATCGTGGGCGGCAAGTATCCTGTTCGCGCCGGGGAGTTGATCATCGTCCTCGTGGGGCGCTCCCAGCTCGACCCAATGGTCTTCGGCGCCGACGTACACGAGTTCAAGCCCGAGCGCATGCTCGATGAGAATTTCGACCGTCTCAACAAAGAGTTCCCCAATGCCTGGAAGCCATTTGGTAACGGCACACGAGGCTGCATCGGCCGCCCGTTTGCCTGGCAAGAGGCCCTACTGGTGCTGGCCATGCTGCTGCAGAACTTCGACTTTGAATTCGACGACCCGGACTATACTCTCGCGCTCAAGCAGACCCTCACCGTCAAACCGACCAATTTCCAGATCCGCGCGACTCTTCGTGACGGACTGACTGCCACGACGTTGGAGCATCGACTGGCGGGCACAACACCTCCGCCGAAATCGGACGCAGCGGGTGCATTGAATGGCGTGGCCTCGACCAGCACCGAAGGACAGCCCATGAGCATCTATTACGGATCGAATAGTGGAACGTGTCAGTCCATGGCGGAGCGGCTAGCTGCGGACGCCTTTTCGCATGGGTTCCGTGCGCGTGTCGTGGATTGTCTCGACAATGCTGTCGACGGACTGCCGGCCGACGAGCCGGTGATCTTCATCACTGCCTCGTATGAAGGCCAGCCACCCGACAACGCAGCTCACTTTGTCCACTGGCTTGAAGAGCTGAAAGAAGAGAAAGCCACACTGCAGGGCATCTCATACGCGGTCTTCGGATGTGGCCACCACGACTGGGCGGCGACCTTCCACCGCATCCCGCGCCTCGTCGACGCAGCCCTAACCCGCCACGGAGGGGAGCGCCTCGCCGCGCTGGGCCTCACTGACGTGGCGGCCGGCAACGAGATGGCCGACTTCGAGGCCTGGGAAGACGAGGTGCTCTGGCCCGCCCTGACCAAACGATACAGGGCTGCTGTTCCCCAAGGCCCCGCGCTGAGCGTGCAAGTCACCAGCCCGCGCAAGGCCACCCTCCACTACGACCTGCACGAGGCCAGCGTCGTCTCCACCAGCACGCTGACCAGCCCCGACGCTTTCGTCGCAAAGCACCAACTCATCCTCGACCTGCCAGACCACATGTCCTACACAGCAGGCGACTACCTCGCCATCTTACCCGTCAACCCGCGCAAGTCCGTCCACCGCGTCCTGCGCCACTTCCACCTCCCCTGGGATGCCCACTTGACCATCTCCACCAAAGCACGCACTCCCCTGCCCCACGATGTCTCCCTCCCCGCCACCCATATCTTTGGAAGCTACGTCGAACTCGCCCAGCCCGCCACCAAACGCGATCTCCTGTCTCTGGCCAACGCAGCCAAGGACCCTTCCACAAAGACCCGGCTCGAAGCCCTCGCCAATGACAACCACCGGTACAGCACCGAGATCGCCGCGAAGCGTCTCTCCGTTCTGGACGTGCTCGAGTCCACGCCGGACATTGCCCTTCCCATTGCTTCGTTCCTGCGCATGCTACCCCCCATGCGCCTACGACAGTACAGCATCGGGTCCTCTCCACTTGCAGATCCGAAACGAGTAGTTCTCACTTACTCCCTCCATGGAGAGGAAGGAAACGAGGGCGCAGCAACAAGCTACCTCTCGCACCTCTCCGTGGGCGATAAAGTCCACGTCGCCGTCCGGGCCTCTCACGCTGCGTTTCATCTCCCTGCTGATATCACTAAGACGCCAGTTATTATGGTAGCAGCGGGGACAGGCATCGCCCCGTTCCGCGGGTTCATTGAGGAGCGCGCGGTGCGGCACGCGGAGGGACAGGTGCTGGCGCCGGCGGTGCTGTACTTCGGGTGCAGGGATCCGGGCCACGATGATTTGCATCGGGGGGAGTTGGATAAGTGGGAGAGGCAGGGGGTGGTGACCGTGTGGCGAGCATTTAGTCGAAGGAGTGCGGAGAGTGAGGGATGTCGCTATGTGCAGGAGAGAGTGCGGACGGATAGGGAGAGGGTGCGGGAGCTGTGGGAGGACGGGGCTAGAGTGTATGTTTGTGGGAGTCGGGCTGTGGGGGAGGCTGTTAAGGAGGTGTTGGTGGATGTGTTCTGGGAGGGGCAGAGAACTGATGAGTTTGGGGATAGGACTACGAGGGAGGAGGTGAGGGGGTGGTTCGACGGGTTGAAGAATGTACGCTGGGCGGTGGATGTTTTCGATTAGTTACGAGTGCTACTCCAGATGTGGAATATTGGTTGCGTTGATAATGTCTCGGATCTGAAGCATTTATTGAATATTATGTGAGTATCGTTTTATGTTCAATGCATTCATGCGAATGAGGCTGTGTGCTTTCGCGCTCCTCAGACGAAGGCATGTACTCTGACTATTCTGAGATAGCCCTAACAACCTACCAGCCAGCTGCATCTCACCAACCACGCACATGCACATCCTGTCGGACACGCCTCAAATGAACCAGCTCGGGGATATGCAACCGCAAAACCTCCGAACCGGAGATTCTACAGGAATATCGGCAATTATCCACCCATCTACGGAGTAGTACCTAATGCCTGAACATACTAAAGGTGCCTGATCTTTGCCACCATTACCTCGCCATCAACCATCCAGCAACACCATTTCCTATTCTTCTTCTCCCACACATCAGCAAAATGACCACCTCCAACCCCACCTGGCAGACCGTCGACCTGCAATGGCACCCCACCATGCCCGCCCACCCGGTCACCACCCTCCTGCACCCAACCCGGCCGTCTACGGCCGAGCAGAACCTCATCGCCCGGATGTGGGTCCTCTGCGCCATCGAGATGCACCCCAAGCTCCAAGCCATTCCCGCTGCCAACCTGACCCGCCCGCACTTCGCCCGTTATCGCGCCTTCATCGCCGCCGAGGTCGAGCGCTTCCAGCACCCACACTACCCACAGGTCCCGGACTCGCGCGCGCTGGTCGAGTTGTCCAGTGCGGAACGCCACAGTCTCATCGCCGCCCTGCGCGAGCAGACCCGGGAAACGGAGCTGTGGTCCGTCATCGAGGGCCCGTGGCGGGTATATGAGAATGTGGTGGATATTGTCGAGGGCAGGGTCAAGCTCGTCAAGGTTTTGCTGAAGGATGGGCTGCTGGAGAGGTTCTATGATTGGGCGAATGGGTTGTCCGAAGTCAGGCCTTTGTTTCAATTGTTGGGGCAGTCGAGGCCTGGGCTGCGGGTTCTGGAGATCGGGGCGGGGACGGGGGGTACCACCGCTAGGGCTTTGGAGGGTCTGGCGGGTGGGATTGAGGGACCCGGTTTTGAGAAGTATGTGTTCACCGATATCTCGACGCTGTTTTTTGAGAAAGCCCGGGAGAGGTTCCAGGGGTATGAGGGGGTGGAGTATCGTGCGTTGGATATTACGAAGGATCCCGCGGAGCAGGGATTTGAGATCGGGCGATTTGATGTTGTTGTTGCGTCGAATGTGAGAGTACCTTCTGATCTATACGTTGGTCGTGAGGTTGACGAGTATAGGTCCTGCATGCGACGCCATGTTTGGTGGAAACGCTGAAGCATTGTCGCTTGTTGCTCCAGCCGAAGGGGGTGCTCTTTCTTCAGGAGCTGTCGCCGCGTGAGTCGTGTATACTCTGGTTCAATGGGGAGGTGCTGACGATTTCAAAGCAGGGAAATATGTGGACTACATGGTGGTGAGTACGAATTGGGCTGATTTGGTGTGGTTACTGACGCATACAGGGACTCTGGCCCGGCTGGTGGCTGGGTGAGGCGGATGGGCGCGCGGATGGTCCCTGTGTCCCCCCAGAGGAATGGGACCAAAGGCTGCAGCTGGCGGGCTTCGAGGGATTGCATGCTGTTGGCTTGGACAGCGAGCCTCCGTTCTACTACAATGCCAATATGCTGGCTCGACCGGCCGTGTAGGGCGACTGGGACGACAGTTGGAAGCTAGCCCTGGTTTGAGTGAGAATTGAGAGGATGACCCTTCTTACAATGGGCAGGAGCTGCGTGCTTTCTCGTGTCTGAGTCTTCTATGTTATCTCGCAGCTAGTAATGATCATCTGCCGATTACGTAGAGAGCAATATAGGAACTTAAGACTGCGGTATCAGACAGTAGCGATAATCAGTTGCAACTTATAGATCTCAATCCCGACAAGTATATCCATAACCTTCAACAAGATCAGACAATAAATCCAATGGTCAATTCCTCGCAGAGTACAAACAGGTCGACAAGTACTTAACAAGGCTCACCACTGATACAGCATGGCAACCCTAAGACACATCCACTTGCTCATCCAACCCCACCATCCTCAAACTATCCTCCCACAGTCTCGCCGCCATCGCCTCATCCCAAATCCAACTCGCCCATCCTGGCAATGCAAACTGCCCGCGCGACGCCTCATCCGCCTCGTCGGCAACCTGCACATCATCCAGATACAACCCCCCCTTCCCCTCCAACTCGCTAGCCACCGCCGCCCAGACCTGTGTCGCCGCCCCCTGCTCGACGCTCTTCTCCATCTTCGCCAGCAACGGCTCCATCTTGTAGTACTGCTCCCGCCTTCCAGACGACGACCCCGGCAAGCCACGCGAGATCTCGGTATCCATGATAATTCCCGGATTCAGACTCAGCGCATGTACACCACGCCCCGCATACCGGCGCTCGAACTCATTGGCCATGAGGATCGTCGCCGTCTTGCTCTGCGCATACGCCTTGGAGGCATTATACTCGCCGACTAATCCGTTGTAATCCTCCGGATCGATATTCTTGGCTCGATGGCCCGCACTTGCCACCACCACGAGTCGGGAGCGGAAATCAGATGTAGCTGACGCCACCAGCGCCGGAGTCAGCAGCTGCACCAGCAGGAACCCCGCGAGGTAGTTCACGCCAAAGACCCCCTCGAACCCGTCATCCGTGGTGCGCCGCGGCGACGCCACCACCCCCGCGTTCGCCAGCAGGACATGCAGCTTCCCCCCGCTGCGGCGGAGAAACTCGTCCGCCCCATCGCGCACGCTCTGCAGGCTGTAGTAGTCCATGTGGATGACCTCGATGGCCGGGGCTGAGGGATCAGGGCTCGCAGCGGAGATCTCCCGCGCGAGCCGCTCGCCCTTTGCCACGTCCCGCCCCGTGATGAAGATCCTGGCCCCCGTGCGGTGCAGCACGCGCGCGGACTCGGCGCCGAGTCCTGCGGTGCCGCCGGTGATGAGGATGGTTCTGTCTTTCCAGGCGTCCGTGTCGAGGAGGTTTTGATCGGCGAGGATCTGGATGGCGTTGGGGCGGGCGTCGTTGAGGCCCTGGGGGTTGATGTGGAGGGGAGCGTAGCGATGGAGTGTCATGTTTGTGCTGGGAGCTGATTAGGAGAGGTGAGTTTGGGCTGAGTTTGATCGAGATGGAAGTTTGGGTTGTTCGTTTGCTGATTCATGGTGGGTGGGGGACGAAGTAGTCTGTCTGTCTGGGGTGGTTAGGGTTACAGTTACTCCGTACGTCTCGGAGACAGACAACACAATTCCCGAATAATTCCCGACAGGGACGATGAAACCTCCGAATTGAGAGGGTTCGAGAACAGGGGCAGAGTTGTGTGAATTGGGTAGGAACTCAGGTAGGATGTATCATCAGCGTCGTGACCGTCCTGACTGTCATCAATCTGATCAGTCTTTGTCCTTTGAGTCTCGCTAATGCAGAGCTAAGCAGGGATCTTCGCTGTTCCCCGCCTCACTTTCTCCCTTGGACGGTCTTTGTCTCCTTCTCTGCCCCTCACCACTTTTTCTCTCACAACAACCCACCATCTTCCACCATATCGGGTTTTTCTGTTCTGCTACTGCCTATCCCCTTCTGCTGTGATACATTCTCGACATTAATTCCCGGGCTACCAGACGAAACAACAAAATGACCGACTTCGACGCTCTCTTAGCCGAATACACCGCCAAAGCAAACCCCCAGGTTCACGGCGTCATCTGCAAATGCGTCGACCGAACCGGTACCAGCTCCTACCCCAACACTCATTGCTTCTTCTCCAGTTCTCTCTGAGACCCTCATGCCTCATTGCTTTTTCTGCATCCTATCCTAAATCTCCACTCTGCTAGGAACCGAGATCTACAGCAAAGTAGCAGGCTACACCTCCCTCGCCTCCGACAGCCCACCCGTCGACGAGAACGCAGTCCTCAAACTCGGCAGCGCCACCAAGCTCATCACAAGCATCGCCCTCCTCCAATGCATCGACCAAAACCTCATCGGCCTCGACCAACCCCTCACCGCCATCCTCCCGGAACTCGCAGACATCGAGATCCTGACGGACATTGTCGACGGCCAGCTCACCTTCACACCCAGCACCGTCCCGATTACCGCCCGCCATCTCCTCACGCATACCTCGGGGCTGGGGTACAGGTTCACCCACCGCCTGCTCCGGCTGCGGGCGGAGGCGCGCACCGAGCCGCCCTCTCTGAAAATCACGGAACGATATAAAATGCCCCTGGTGTTCGAGCCGGGGACCGGCTGGCTGTACGGATGTAGTCTAGACTGGGCCGGGGTGGTGGTCAGTCGGCTGCACGGGGGCATCTCCCTTGGGGATTACTTCGTGGAACATATCTTCAAGCCTCTGGGGCGGGTGGCCCCGTTCCCCCGGTTCAATATCATGCTGCATCCCGCGTATCATGCCCAGATCCTGCAGGGGGCGGTGCGGACCCAGGACGGGACGCTGGCGCCGCTGGAGCGCTGGGCGTTCGATAACCCCGAGGACCAGGAGGGCGGGAGCGGGCTGGCGGCCACGACGGGGGATTTCCTGGCCGTGCTCGCGGACCTCGTGTCTGACTCGCCTAAGCTGTTGACGCGGGCGACCGTCGCGGAGATGTTCGTCCCGCAGTTGGAGAAAGGGTCGGATGGCGTGCAGATGCTGCTGGGCTTGCGGCCGGCGTGGGATACCGTGGCGGGCCCGATTGCAGAGGATGCGGTCAACCACGGGCTGGGGGGGTTGCTGTGCGTGGGTCCGGTGCCGGAGATCGGGCAGCCGGGGGCCATGCTGGCCTGGGGAGGGGCCACGAATGTCGTCTGGTGGGCGAATCGTGAGCAAGGGGTGGCCGGCTTCTTTGCCACGCAGCAGGCGCCCTTTGGGAATCCGACGGTCACGAAGTTGGTGAATGCGTGGAAGAAGGATTTCTGGGCGCACTTTGATGCGATTGATCTGCCTTGACGGCCTGCTTTTATAGACTAGAGTAGACTGCACTGTTGAGCTTACATTCGACAACTTCCCATTCTTCTAGACGCGAGGTCATCTAACATTGTCCACAACCAAATGGAAAGCTGTCTACTGCGGAATCCGCACCACAAGCTTCTCCCCCCTCACCTCGCCCTTCCTCAACATCTCCAGCCCCTCAATGATGCTCTCCCACCCGCCGCTCAGCTCCCGCAACGGATGCGGTTTGATCTCGCGCCGCGCCATCAACCCCTCCACCTCCTTCGCCCACTGCATCCCGATCGCCAGCAGCGCCGGATCCCCTGAACGGGTGTACGCCGACTCCCCGAGATTGAGATCCGTGCCCAGCACCTGGAAACCCATCACCTCATTGACGCGGACGGCGCGTCGACTCCGCCACGCGGCGGGACACTCCTCGAGACAGGCGTAGACGCCGCCCGTGCGGGCCAGCAGGCTGTAACACAGCGCCGTGGAGTCGGCGTCCGTGATGCAGTCGAGTACATATCGGATGGGCTTTCCGGCGAGGGCTTGGGTAGTTGCCACGCAGTCTTTGGCTGTGTAGGACGCTGTGCCCTTGGCGCCGTAGGACAGGGCCAGCGGAGCGGACTGCGGGGAGGTTATTGCTAGGGGGGTGTAGCCCATTCTTTATCACGCGTTAGCTCATACTGTATCTAGCTTATATAGTCAATGCAACCAGGAAGAGAATGGGAGGGGAAGTACAGATTTAGCATCTGACACGCGAACGTGCCCGACGCAGTCGCACCGCCGTACACCACGACCGGCTCGCCGGCCTGATGCGCCGGCCGCGAGGGCAACCCCTCCAGCCCCAGCGCGTGCGGATCGCTGAGCGCCAGCGAGATCGTCGACCATGCAACGCCCAGCGCCGCTGCTTCGGTATCGCTCCAGTGCGGGGGCACCTTCACCAGCAGTCGCGCGTCGACGGTGCAGTACTGCGCGAAGGAGCCGTTGTCGCCCTTGTCGGTGGGGTTGTAGGGGAACAAAGCCCCGCACACGCGCGTGCCGACGGGCAGGTCTGGGTGGTCCGGGTGGGGGGCTTGGATCACGCCGCTGAGGTCGCAGCCGGCGATGCTGCCAGGCTTGTTGAAGTAGGTGACCATCTTGTGGTCGTTGGGGTTCAGGGCGACGGCCAGGATGCGGATGAGGACATGGTGTGGCGATTGCGGGGAGGGGACGGGGGCGGTTGGGGAGACGGTGAGGGGGAGATGTGTTGGGTTGTCGCTGTCCTTGGGGGTTTGGACAATGGCGGTTTGCGTGGGGTGTGTCATTTTGGAGAGCAGTGGCTGTGGTGGTGAGAGATGACTGGATGGTTGTGTCTGGGTTTACGGTGAGGTATTAAAGGTGCTAGGTAGGAGATGAGGACGAGGAGTTAGGGCTAATCCCCAGGATCGTCATCCACTCGGAGGTTTTGTAGCACAGCGTCTCCGAATGATCGGCTTTTCCTGCGTACCTTTTATGACCGAAGGCCGGAGTATCTTCCGGAGCTGGATTGGACTCACAAAACGAGGCTGTGGCGCGTCGATCATGCACGTCCTGCTGATTTCCCACATAAAGGGAGGCCACCCCGCCACGAGTCTCATTCCGTTCGTACCGCATCCCCCCCTGCTGGGTACCGCATCATCGACGCGATGTTTCTCTACTCCGGAATCGCCCTGGGCCTCGTGCTGGCCGTCATCTTCAGGCAGTTCAAACCACATGGAGGCAAGGAACCCCCCTCCCTGTCCGGGTGGATGATCACCAACACCTACCAATACATGACCGACATGCATGGCTTCCTCCAGCGAGTGGCGTCAGTCCCGCCATCATTTCTATCACATCGTCCACCCACTAACTCCCTCCAGATCCGCCCAGTGCCGCAGCAACATCATCAAGTTCCGCCTCGGCCCCAAGAAGATCTACATGGTCTCGGGCGAAAAGAACATCCAAGCCATCAACACCCCCTCGCACAGCATCAGCCCGGAGGTCTTCTTCCTCGACGTGATGGCCAACGTCTGGGGCGCCAAACCCGCTGAGCTGGTGAAATTCCGCCAGGACAAGTCCGGCCGCCGCAAGAACCCCATCCCCGGCCACGAGCTCCCTCCCGGCGAGCCGCGGCTCTGGCACGGCCAGCACCACATCTACTCGGAGTTCCTGCAGCGCACCGACCGGGCCAACTTCCTGACCACCAAGTACTTCGACCTGTTCTCTGACAGACTCGTCCAGCAGCCCCTGAACGAGTGGCGCGAGGTCCGGCTGTGCGAGTTCTTCGAGAGCGAGATGGCCGAGGCCGCCCTGGAGGCACTGATGGGCCCACGCCTCGTCGAGCTCAACCCAGGCTTCTGGCCGACGATGTGGGAGTTTGCGCGCATCGCGCCGCAGCTGATGTGGGGGCTGCCGCGGTGGATGAACCCGGGGCCGTGGAAGACGCAGGCGGACTTTCAGACGATGTGTCGCCGGTATATCGATGCTGCAGCCAAAGCGTTCGACCCGACGGGCCCCGAGGCAGACGCGGAGTGGGAGCCGCAGTACGGCTCGCGGATGGCGCGCGAGCTGGTCAAGTGGGCGACGGAGAATCTGTCGCCGGAGACGACGGCGGGCATGGTGGCCACCTTCATCTTCGGGACCAACGCCAACTCCGTCCCCATGTCCACCTGGGCCCTGATGCATCTGGTCGCCGACCCGGCGCTGTACCGCGCGGTGCGCGACGAGTGTCTGGCCGCCAGCACGACCGACCCCATCACCGGCCGGCGCGGCTTCGACCCCCAGAAGCTGTTCGGCATGCCCCTGCTGCAGTCCGTGTACATCGAGACCCTGCGCCTGCATGTGTCAATCAATGTCACCCGCGAGGTCACCCAGCCCATCACCCTGGACGGGTTCCTCTTGACGCCGGGGTCGTTGATCCAGGCCCCGAGCCAGATCGGCCAGTACAACGAGGGGGTGTGGAGTGCGCCGGGCCATCCGGCCTCGGAGTTCTGGGGCTATCGCAACCTCAAGCGTGAGAGTGAGAAGCCGGAGTTTACCATGACGGGCAAGACGAGCTCGTTCTTTCCGTTTGGTATGTCCCGGCAGCAGCTGATAAGATTTTGACGGGCTCATGCTGACGGATATATATAGGCGGCGGACCGTCCATCTGTCCCGGTCGGGTGTTCGCCAAACAGGAGATTCTGATGACGATCGCGGCTCTCGTGACTCGTTTTGAGATCGAACTGATCGACTGGATTCATCCGGATGGAACCAGGTCGGATCGACCGGCGCAGAACGATCAGTCGCTCATCGGGGCCGTGGGGATACCGCCGGATCGGGATATGAAGGTGAGGTGGAAGCGGCTGTGGTAGGGGAGTTGGGGATGGGCATATGCCAGATTCTGAAGTAGCTGAGATATAGAAGTGCTTTCTCTGTGTATAGGTACATCCTAAGAAGACCACTTGTGGTTGTCTGTGATGATGTGCACGATGTGGGCTGCGGTGCTCGCTTGCTTTGTGCTGTACATAAGGCACTTTATGAGGGCTGATCTACAACAAGGCAAGATGGCCGAGCGGTCTAAGGCGCTGCACTCAAGGACTATTCCTTCTCCAGATCACATCTGAAGAGCATTGCAGTCACGCAAGTGGCGTGGGTTCGAATCCCACTCTTGTCATCTCTTTTTGTGGGTTTTGTGCACAGTCTCTTCAACACTGTAGCAAAAAGAGACTAGCGTGTTCTCTACCCGTATTGTTCATTACTGCTGCTTACTGCTGCACGCTAGAACCCCGTGCTGGCTGAACATCCATTTTATGCACCCACTCGCATCCTGTGTCGACTATATTCTTGTCGGACCATCTTGAACCACCCCTGATAAGATAATGGACCATGGAAGCGTAAAGTACTTCGTTTACCTCTCCTTCTTACACGTCAGTGAGCTCTTTCTGCTTCTGAATGCTGAAGAACCGATACGGAAACATCACGGTTCTACAATTGGGTCCTTCATTATGTCTATTCACCTGTATGTATCTCCATGGTCGCGTTCAACGGGCGACACCTCCTATCGGGAACGAGTCCCTCTCGCAGTACGGTGGTAGGAGCTACGCAGACCTTGTGAACTGTAAATGTCATCATTAATTTAATCATACATAATTAGTCTTATTCTGCCAGGGAGCCATAGCATCCCATACGCCATCGCAACTACCAAGATCAGAAGAGGTAAACCCAGCTCATCAGTAAACTCTTTCCTGATCACAGTCGGACAGGACCGTGACCGTAACTGTAGCCAAGACAGTCGATGTCACCACGTCCTCGTCGCCCTCCCCGGAAGCAGTCGGGGGCTCGGTGGTGTGCGGAGAGACCACAGCGGCGGAGGAGCTCGAGGCGGCCGATGGGATCACTGAGGGTTGAGTGGAGCTTGAGGATGGAGTGGAGGAGAGAGCACTGCCAGAGGACTGGACAGGCGCCGGGATCACTGCAGAAGAAGAGACCCGCGCGGGCTGCGAGGGAGCGGACGATGACTGCTGCGGGATAAGGACGGAGGACGACTGGGTCAGGGGTGACGGCGAGCTGAGTTGCTGAGAAGGGAGGGAAGAGGAGCCGGCACTAGGGCTGGGAGCCACGACGGGCGTGGAGCGGAATAGCGAAGGAGCGGGAGTTGGAATGGAGGAGGCAATAGATGAGGGAATCGATGGTCGGATCGATGAGGGGATTGAAGAAGGAGCGGAAGAAGGAGCGGAAGAAGCTGCAGGGGCCGAAGAAACCGATGAGGGAATGACAATCGATGAAGGAACCACGGATGAGGCTGGCGCAACACTCGATGGCACCGCAGCCGTGGGAGTGACAGTCGAGGACACCGGAGAAGGAGTGAACGAAATGACGGTCGATGTAGCCGAGCTGGTCGGGACCGTCACCGTCACCGTATAGACAGTAGTGGCCTGGCTGGTCACATACTCGGTCAAATGGTCGGTCTCCATGGCCGTGACCGTTTCCGTGCATGGGTTGGTGGAGTAAGTACTGAGCGCCTGATAGCCCGAGGCAGAGACCACTGCATTACCGGTGGCCCATAAGTACTGACAACTGCTGGCCGCCGGGTAGTAATTGACGGCATTACAAATGCCGTTGAAGATGCGACAATATAGTTCACAGCCATTGATATTTGCCTGGCGACTGTAAACGTTCATGACAGCTCGGGTGACTGCTCCACTGATGGAGGAGCCGTCACACATCTCCCGATAGTAAGCACCGGCTGAGGACCAAGCATAATTGGAGCATGAAGAGCCGGATCCTAGAGAGGCCGTGCCAGTCGCACAGACAACACTGGTGGTGACCACTGCCGAAGAGGTGGTGACAACGTTGGTGACAGTGGTGGGATAGGTCGAAGTCACGGTGGCGATCGAAACACTGGGAGCACCGGCAGCCGGAAGAGCAATAATCGCTGCCAGACTGGCGGGGGCCAGGGCTGAGAGGAGAAGCAGCCCACTGGCTACTGAGAAGTCCTTCATGGCGAGGACGGTAACGACTGGTTTCTAGGTATGAGGCTCAGGTTGGGGGTGAGGTTCAAAGAATGAGAAGAGCCCAGTAAGAGCCTTGGATCGAATATCACAATGGCATGGGCAGAAAAGACAGACAATGAATGTCGTTAGCCTGGCCGCGACGTAGGAACCATGGGTGCTAGGTGGTTATTTAAAGGCAGCTGGGATTTGGGTGGCGTCAGATGGCCGCGATCCCACTCAGCATTGTGGAACAGCCTTTCTAGATCAACTAGAACCTATCGATAAGTTGACCGAGAATCGCGGTGGAGACAAAATCTTGGAGCTGAAAGCAAGTTGGGGGAAATCCTAGCGAGGAGCCTACCGCATTAGGGCTAGTTAAGGGGGTGACAAGCCACTGTCCACGGAGTACGCCGTACCTCGCTCGATCCCACCTGATCGGTCCAGGCCTGGATACAAGCCAGACCTAAGGTGGTCAGAACATGCGAAGCTATCGATTCTCTGTGGCTTGAAAATTGGCTCTGCAGGTCAATTTTACAATCGAGTTTGGCAATGGGTGGCGCAGGATAGGTGCCTAAGGCAGCAAACGGATCCACCGGACGTGCACTCGCTGCGCTATGCTCGATATAACTGACACAACAAGGACTTTCCATGCACCCCATGCACTTCAAGCAAAGGGATGCTCTTCTGGCCCAGAGGGAAAGTCTGCAGCCCGAGCCGAAGGCTGGTCGAAAAACTGCACCGACCACGCCATCGCACTGGAGATCTCACTAGGCCATTCCCCAGGGAACTGGAGATCGTCTGGCATGATGTGTGACGACGTGAACGAGGCAGACTCGAGATGAAGAGCAGGATCGGGGTCGCTGAGGGGTTGTGGTAAGAGCGATAACGGCTGTGAGGTAGACTCTACGACTGCCGACGGCGCTGCAGCTATCCCAAATGAGAAGAAATACCCACCAAAACAGAAAGAATCTGGACACACCTCTATGGATGGAATGATGTAGGCTGGAAAGTGCTTTCAGCATGTCGGCCGCTTTTCGAGCGGCGGCCGAGTTAGCACTCAGCGCCTCAAAGACCTTCAAGCAGGTCTCGGCATCTTCTCGGAGATCCTGCGCAGATGTGGTGCTATGAAACGAGTCTTGGGTCGGGCAGAAAGCTTCGGCCACAAAGAGGATTGAGCTGGCGCAGATCAAGCACGAGATCATCTGCCACCAGGGGAAGTCATGTACTAGACTGCGCTCGTCGACCAGATTGTGGAGCAGCTGCGCTGTCTGCCGTGCTTCCTGGACGCAAGTGGACTCGGCCTGGGCGATTCGGTGTTTCTCTCGACGCAGCAGTTCCATAAACGGATGGTTGTTGGTCTGCAGGAGAGGAAGGCATAGAAAGGGTCTGTGGATCAAAGCGCGTAGATGATGATACTTCACGGCCAGCATATTACGCTGTGGTGGGTGAGTCACATCAGTCACACACGAGACCTAGAGGACTGCTACATACCTGTCGCATGAAGGTGACCGAGCTCTCAAAAGTATGACCCAGGTCGAACCGCAGATGCCGTGGCAGTCCCTTCTTCCATTCGCTGAGCCGTTGATCCAGAGCCGACGAGGTGTTGAGCACCACGTCCGGGGCCACATCGATCTGCGAGGGCCGGTACAACTCCCGAATAACCGCACCCACCAAGTAAGAGAACCGGATGACAGCAATAAAGTAGTCCATGCGGGAGCCGGTCGATGTATCTCTGCTTGCCGTAATAGACCCCGCGGACGCAGTTGGATTCCGGCCAAACGGGAAAGGATCGGAGACAGAGGGCATCTCCACTTGAAATTCGCTTTCGTGAATGGCCATGGGACGGCCGAGCTGAAGCGCAAGCAGCCGATCGAGAACATACATCGAGTACCATGTTCGCCGCCAGTGCGCCCGGTCGGCCATCCATGATGTCCGGGTATGCATGGGGGACGATTCCACATGAAGGCCGATGCTCTGCCCCATGCGGATGGCAAAGCCAAGTGTGTTCCAGCACCTTGTCGTTACGGTGAGTCATCAAGCTCAAACCCAAGTTTTTTTTGATCATGATGAACTTACCTATCGGTGTGGCAAATCGCCAGCAGGAAGAAACATTGCACTATCAAGGCCCACACACTCAGCAAGGAGCATGTTGCGCCTAGTTCCCGAGAAAAGTATACTCCTTGCTCGAAGTATCGCAGATGATCGGAGGAAGCTGTCCCAGATCGATGTGGAAAAGAGGTGTAGTAGGAGCCGATAGCGAAAATAAAGTCTATCCCGCTGTTAGAAGTAGTGATGACATGATATATGCAGACGCATAAAACAGCTTGTCTTACTGAACAATGCAAGCCAGGGCTCAAATTCCTGGGCCGCGTAATCACCAGCCTGAAAGACCTGAAACTGCTCCAGGAGAATCTCTCGGTAAAGAAACGGGTAAGCGACATGGATGGTGGACAAATAAACCTCTATGAAGCCTCGCGCTTCGGTTGGAGTCGGAACGATGAGAGGCTGGGTCAACCCGGCCAGGCTCTTGGTGATATGAGTTTGACTATAGTTTTCGGCTGGCGAGGGTTCTCTCGCAGTCCAGGCCCCGGTTTGATAGCACTGGCGAATGCGATGTATGAAATGGATATCGCTCGCCTTGCCCACGTAGGTGGCGGGTGAATCCACGCCCGCCTCGCTGGAAACAGTGCTCGGTTCTCGAATCGAGGCAGGTTGCTCCAGACTCGAATCCGTGGCATTGACAGGCAGCTGACGACGGATTGTGTCTAGACTAGCATTTAGGGTTCCTTTCTGGTTCGGATCGAGGCTCGATAGTAGCTCCTGCATCAGAGATTCATATTGCCGCACAGCTCTTTGATAGCTTGCCAACTCGTCATGCTTTGATTCGTCCCACAAAGCCTGGTGCTGTGGCTCCGTAGAAGACATATCTCTCGCAGTCTCCAGTTCCGGCAATGGAACCTTTCGTTTACGTGATGACCATGAACACTTGAAGCCGTAGCCCTCGCACCGGGTACAAACTGGCTGTCGCCCATCGCACTTGGCCTTGAGTAGCCGACATTTCTCACAAGCAATTGGTGCCCTCTGGCGCTTCATGATGCATATCGATAGGATGCTGGTTCGGAAGTTAGTGATGTGGAAAAGGAATGCTGTGAATGCAGAAGCCAGAGAGAATGAATGAATGAATGAATGAGAATGAAGGGGGGCTGTGCTTATGTCAGCACTCCCTCATGGCCGATCACGTGATATAGCCATGAATTGCAAGCATCTCTCTCATCACGATCAAGAGAATTGAAGGCAATCATATCGGATAGATACGTAATGAGAGACTAACCTTCCCATTCGGATTGATGTAGCTGCAGTATGGGATAGTCGGTGAAAGGTTCAAGTTCGAATTCTGCATCAGTTGATCCGACAATAGAGGGGCCGCCGGCCGCCCGGGCCGTGATTACCGCGATAACCGGGACTGCCGCGTTGCTCGCAAAGTCAATGATTCAAGGCAGGGGGAGACCGGTTGGAATTTTCTTCCCACCACAATCGTGCTTGCTACTGTCCTGAAGATGCAGTCTCAGTACAATGTTCAGGTGCAACACGAGAAACACGAACGACCCTCAACCTCGTCCCTGAGAGAGAAACCAATGACTGAATCCGATTCCGGTTCCGAAATCAATCTCGATGAGGTCGCCGCCCCGCCACCGGTATACGATCGTCCCGATGAGGATCATCTCGAGAACCAATTATCCCACCAGGCAGGGAGAGGAGAAGAAGACGTGGAACGGGAGTCGCAACAGGATCCAAACGGGTATGCGACGACGGTGGGAAGGGAAGAAGCTGAGAAGCAGCAGGGAAGGGGCCTTCGGTCAACTTCCATGCGCATGCGCTATGTCATCGCCTATTTAGTCTTCTTCTCATTCCTGGGCACTTTACTGAGAATGGTCATCGAGAGCCTGACCTTCTACCCAGGAGCCCCTGTCAACACCAGTGTGCTATGGGCCAATGTTGGAGGATGTTTCATCATGGGATTTCTCAGTGAAGATCAAGGATTGTTTCGGTTCAAAGAAGTGGACATCCAAGTCGAACACGAGGATGATGGCCAGCGCAGGGCGCGTCTGACCGCACACAAGAAGACGATTCCCCTCTACATCGGATTGACCACCGGCTTCTGTGGGAGTTTGACCTCCTTTTCCACCTTCATCCGCGACCTCTTCCTCGCCCTGTCCAATGGTCTGTCCGTTCCTGTGGGCCCCTACTCAGACGTCTCCTTGTTCGCTGCCGCGCAAGATGTCCCCAAGGCTCCCAACGGCGGCTTCAGCTTTATGGCGATCATCGCAGTGCTCCTCCTCGAAGTCGGGCTATCCACGTTCAGCATCAAGCTCGGAGCCCATACGGCGGTGTTCGTCTCCTCTTGGACCCCCCGTTTGCCGCAATGGTGGCTGGAACGGATTGTCAACCCGTGCATGATTCCGCTGGCCACTCTATCCTGGATCGCGCTCATCTGCCTCGTCGCACTGCTACCGCGGTACGCATTGGACCCGACCCTATGGAGTGCAGAGATATGGCGTGGTCCCGTGGTGTTTGCGCTGGTGTTCTCCCCGGTCGGCTGTCTCGCACGGTTCTTCTTATCGCTGAAGCTCAACAGCCGTGTGGCCGCGTTCCCGTTGGGAACCTTTGCGGCGAATATAACAGGAACCGCGGTGCTAGGGATGGCCTACTGTTTACAGCACAGCTCAATCAGTGCCGCGACCCTGGGTGGGGGAAGCGTCACTGGCTGCCAGGTGCTGCAAGGAATTATGGACGGGTTTTGCGGCTGTCTGACGACAGTCAGTACATGGGCGTTGGAGTTAATCGACTTGCGTCCCCAGCACGCTTATGTGTATGGCGTCATTAGTGTGGTGGTAGCCTTCTGCTTGTTGGTGGTGGAGATCGGAAGCCTGAAGTGGACTCGTGGCCTAGAGACTCCGATTTGTTTCAGTGCGAGTACAGCATAGTACATATCCCCCAGTCAATAACGAGCTGGTCGTTTGTGATATACCCCCGAGCTCCTAAGTCAGGGAAGATTCATAACCGCAAAGCAGCGAATAAGAACTCCATTGAATTAGAATTCTTTTGACATATATCATGAAAGAACAAGATAAGAGCAAAACAGTATTAGCATTAGAGAAGTAGGCAATAGTGCATCGCATGACAATAAATGCTGCCTACGTTCAACTGAGAAATCCGCCTCATTACACAGCCCGGATCGCTCAAATGCTACTGGGGAATCTCCTCCTCGGTCTCCACGCTTCTGACAATGGTCTAACAGCCTCAATGCAAACCTAACCAAGCGCGTCAGCATAATCTCAACCCAACCGTAGGACAACCTTACTGCTGATCCATGAGCTTGCCGTCCATCGCCAGCCGATTGGGACTGCGTCCGTCAGGCACATTATAGACGCAATACCAGGTCTTCAACGACTCCAAGAATCCGGGAAACTGCGCTTCCACATCCTGGATGTCAGTGAGGCGCTCTACGCGCGCATCGGTGATGTCCACAGCAACAATCTTCCAATCCGTGCTGCCTTTATATAGCACGGCAAATGCCCCGAGCGGCTTTACCTTTCTGATCTAGCCGCATCGAGCCCCCCCCAGTGCCGATCTCGCAGACATCCAGGAGGTCGTCGTCTCCTGCCACTCCTGTGTAGGGGTCAATCGTCGTGGGATCTTTCCATGTCTGGTGTTTGCAATATCAGTCAGCCGTCGTTTATGTGGACACGGAGATGTCGTTTGAAATGGGAGGAAATTGATGAGGAGCTCACCTCTGGAATAGCATCGTAGTTGCACGGATAGCCCTGAAACGGCGGGACATCGGCCACTTTTCTGGGTTTCCCCTCTCCGATATCCTGCCTGATTGGGTTGTGAGCGACCTCCTTCGTAGTCTGTTCGATTGCGGGGCTTAGCGGGGGATCAAGTGTCCGAGAGAAAAAAAACAGTGTCAACGCATACCTCCATCTTTGCATTTGTGCGTCGCGGAATCTCCACGACCATATTCAATATCTTTGCCTCCCGATCCGCCCACGACGGAAGGTCATGCCATGGCGAGATCCTCTGGCCATTGCGCTGGAAGTACAAGCATGTTAGACCGGGGTTCGCATCTGAAGTGTCCTCGATCGTGATATCAGAAGTCATAGCGCCGTGTGTTGGTAAGAGCAAGTGTCCTGAGATGTGTGCAAAGGAGATAGGCCTGAAGCGAGAAGACAAGAAAGGACACGACCACGAGAGAAGACGCATGAGTGAGAGTACAAGACAGGACACAGGCTGATGAGTGACGGCCACGCATCTGGGTGATCTCGGTGGTACTCGGTGTGCTGTTGGCAGCCGGCACGTGGATCATGCGAGGCACAATGTTCCTATCGAATGGGGGAATTATCGAGAACTTGGGACACCCACAGGGCATTCTATTCCTGGAAGTGGCGTTGACCGAGAATTGGCTGATTTTCGTCACGCGAGAGGCCCATACATGGCCTTCCTGGCAGCCGGTGGGCGCCATCCTAGGAGTGGACATCATCGCCACCCTCTTCTGTGTGCTTGGGTGGCTCACGGGGGGCGCATTTGAGCAGACGAACCCTTCCGACCCGGCCACTTTCTCTGAGGGCCCGACGAGCATCGTGACGGTGATCGTAGTGTGGGGGTTTTCGATCGGGGTGACCATCTTCATCGCCACCGTTTATTATCTTCTCTCGCGGATTACATGGCTACAGAACCTCGGACGGGCCTCTCGTTCCAAAGAAGAGATGAAGATGGAGCGATTCCTCGAGCAGCTATTCAAGCTTACGGTGGAACGAGAGAAGGATCCTCAGTCTGAGAATCCGCGGTATGTTCTGAAGACTCGAACGGAGGATTTCGATGCGGACGATTAGGGTGGAGTGTATATGATGCCGTGTTAAACGGTGTAATTCTGTCCCCAATGATACATGTATTCTATAGCTCAGAAGATAATATTGGATGCACGGCCAGTAGAAATGCAAGCTGGTTTCATCAGTCGCCGCCTTACTACATATAGGGCACTCCATGACAAATCCTGGTCGAACCATCTCTCCCAACTGGCTTTTATCCACTCAAGGACGATTCAGCCGAAGCTAGGAAGGGCGAGACAGGCCTCTCACGCACGTTCCCCACAGGAGGAATGTTAGCTAGTCTGGAATGCGCAGGGTGGGGCGTGCTGATAAGCTTGTGTGAATTTGGAATCATCTGATCTGTCAGGGTTTTCTAGTATTCCCCGTCCTGGTGACCCAGGAGTGCTGCAGCGGTTCAATCGGAAATACACTCACAATACTACCCCCCCGTCGAATGGTCGAATGCTCTATACACCCACGACGTCTTTAGCACCCTTCCGCAGCAAAGAAATGACCGAGTCATCCCATAAATGCTCTAATCATAGTCATTGCAGGCAATTCACCAGGACAAGCCTTCTCACGCAACGGTAGAATTTTCCCCACGCCACCAGGCTAAACTTCACCGAGTCAAGTGTGTTGGTAGCGCAAACTCTCAGCAAAGTCAACCGGCCATGAGGCTCGTGGGCCCCATCCAACGCCGCCATTCATGACTCGGAGAAAACCCGGAGGGGGAAAATTGACCGGAAGGAATAAAGGCGCTAAGGCACTAAGGCCCAAAGAGGAACTCGACACGAGCCAAAGATCAATCTAATCAATCTAGTCAATCAATCAGATAATCTGATAAGGCTCCGCGCCCCCTCTTGCCCTTGCTTGAACCCTCTTGGCACTTCCCTTCCTCCTTGGTTTGGGCCCTATGGGGGCCAGTAGAGCCACTCCTTCATTAATTGCCAAGCCAGCGTGGTCAGGATGACTGCTGTCGCTGCTGCAGTCGGGTTATCCGGTTCTCTGTTGCACCCTTCTTTCCTTAGTCCATGCCTCGAGTCATGCTCCCAGAATTAAATTAATTCGGCCTAGCAATACTGCAGGGAAATTTGTTTTCCGGTCATCGGACCACCTGTCCGGGACCATATGGCAACTAAAGTATAAGTAGAGGTTGAGGCCCGTCCCAGCCTGCGTTGCTGTTCGTGACATTTGGTCCCGACAACCACCACTATGGCTCTCCGGAACCGCTTCATCAACCCCTTCGCAGCCAAGGGCGCTGTCGAGGCACAGTCTGAGACTGGGGCCCTTGATCTCGAGACAACTGTAGAGTCGAAGCACCCCATTGACCAAGCACAGGAGACCGATCGCTCCTCGCAGGATGATACAATCATCGACGACAAGGCGCAGTCGGGTACCCAGAAGGCGCAGGCGAGCACCCAAGCCTGGACGAGGAACACCCTGATTGCAGCCTACATCCTGTAAGTCTCCGATCAGTCGCTCTGAAACATTCCCCACTAACCCAAATCCCCTCTTAGGGCTTGGATCGTCAACTTCCTCGAATACTTCAGCTCCGGCCTCCTCGGCTCCCTGTCCCCCTACATCTACAGCGGCTTCGCTCTGCACTCCCTGACAGGTCTGACCTCGGTCATCGCCTCATTGATCTCCGCGATGGTCAAGTTTCCTTACGCAAAGCTCATGGACATCTGGGGCCGACCGCAGGCGTTCGCCGTCGCGGTGGGCTCGCTGACGCTAGGGCTGGTGATGATGGCGGCCTGCAAGAACGTGCAGACCTACTGCGCCGCACAGGTCTTCTACCAGATCGGGTTCAGCTGCATCGACTTCTCGATGACGATCTTCATCGCCGATACGACCGCCCTGAAGAACCGGGCGTTCTGGATCGCCTACGCCTCGTCGCCGTACCTGATCACTCCCTGGATCTACGGGTACGCGGCCGACCGCATCGTCGCCCCCGGGGGCATCGGCTACCGCTGGGGATTCGGGGTGTTCGCCATCATCATGCCCATCGTCTGCGCCCCGCTGTGGGGGCTGTGGTACTACATCCAGCAGAAGGCTGAGCGGATGGGGCTGACGGAGAAACGCGAGCGCAGCGGGCGCACGCTGGCGCAGTCGATCGTCCACTACGCCATCGAGTTCGACGTGGTGGGGCTGCTCATAATCGCGACGGGCTTCTCGCTCTTCCTGCTGGCTTTCAACCTGTACTCGTACCAGGCCAACGAATGGCGCTCGCCGCTAATCATCTGCTTCATCATCATCGGCGCCCTGCTGATCCTGGCCTTCGTGGTGTGGGAGCGCTTCTGGGCCCCCGTGCAGTTCATGCCCTGGGCGCTGATCCAGGACCGCACCGTCGTCTTCACCTTCTCCATGGTCGTCTCCCTCTACCTGGCCTGGTACATCTGGGACAGCTACTTCTATAGCCTGCTGCAGGTGGTCTTCAACCAGACCGTCACCCAGGCCACCTACATCTCGAACATCTACACGATCGGCTCGTGCTTCTGGTGCCTGGTCTTCGGCGCCATCTTGCGCTACCAGGGCCGCCTGAAGTACTGGGCCATCTGCTTCGGCGTGCCCCTGACCATTCTGGGTGTGGGCCTGATGATCAAGTTCCGCCAGCCCGACGTGAACATTGGGTACATCGTCATGTGCCAGATCTTTGTGGCCTTTGGGGGTGGCACCCTGGTCATCTGCGAGCAGATGACGGTCATGGCCGTGTCGGCGCAGCGCAACATCCCGGCCATCCTGGCCATTGAGGGCGTTGTCGCCAGCATCGGCAGCGCCCTGGGCGGGACGGTGGCTGTCGCCATGTGGACGGGCATTTTCCCTGTGAAGCTGCGGTCGCTGCTGCCCGCGTCCGCGCAGGCCGACTGGGCGACGATCTACGGCTCGCTGGACGTGCAGCAGTCCTACGCCCGAGGCACCGCCACCCGCGACGCCATCGACTCGGCCTACGGCGAGACCCAGCGGCTGATGCTGATCACGGCGACGTGTCTGTATCTGATCACCTGGTCGTCGTGCTTCTTTTGGAAGAACATCGATGTCAAGAAGATGAAGCAGCAGGTGCACGGGGTGCATTTCTAGGCTTCTCAGTCGCGTCCTTGATCGATTTTGATAAATTGATATTCTTTCCGAGAGGGGAGGCAGAGAACCAATTGCACTCTGCACGGGCGAACAAAAAGCATGGGGACTGATATCTAGAATGAAAGTGTGGGCTCGCTATTTTGTTTGAGAAGTACGCTTGTCTCTGTTCAGGTGCCATCAAGATAGTATAATACGTAATAGACAAGAATTGAAAGGAAATGAAAAGAAATGTTCTTTCGAAGACAAACGGAAATTTGCCAGACCAGAGGGATTTGACAAAACAACGACCCCAGCACCAGCTGTCCACAGCCATCGTGTAAGCTAACCCTACTTTCCCTCCTCCCCCTCAGCAATCGTCTTCTTCTTCCTCACATCGACCCACCCCATCCCAAACGCTGCCACAAACCCCGTCAAACAGCACGCCATCAGCAGATAAAACACCTTATCCAGACTATTCGCGAACGCCAACAACACCCCCGCCAGCTCCGCGCTGCTGCCACTACCCTCCGGCACCAACGCGCGGACGGAGCTCGCGCTCGCCCCAGCGGCCAGGGCCGCGTCCACCGAGACCTGGGGCGCATGCAGCCGGATCTCCTTGACGAGCTGCTGCCGGAAGATCACCTCCGCCACGACGACGAACACGGCGCCGGCGAAGTTTTGGCAGAAGATCATGAAGGCGATGCCGACGGGGATCAGGTGGACGGGGAGGTGGTTCTGGATGGCGATGATGCCCTGCACTTTGTTAGCTTGGGGTCTGGATGGCAGCGAAAGAGGTGTTGTGTGCTGTAGCAGCGTGTAATGCATGAAAGGGCAGCGTACCATCTGCATCCCTATACCGCGCCCACTGCCCAGCACAATCTGATACCCAATCCACTTGCCTGTTGGGGTCGAAGGGGCAAACATTGTGACAAGACCGTTGCCGACGGCGCTGATGGCGCTGCCGGCCGCAGCGAAGGGAAGATAGTACCCCAGTTTCTGCACTGCATGCCGTCAGACGCTTTTCAACCTACCCAGCTGGAAGACTTGGAGTAGGTTATGGACGTACCAAAAGCCCCCGAAAGAATGACCATGAGCAACTGACTCAAGATGCCCGGCAGGGTGTTCACCCCGCTCATGGCGGGCCCGTACCCACGCACTCCCTGGAAGTAGATGGGCAGGTACTGCGCCGCCACCAGAATGGACGCCACCAGCATCCCTCCGTTGATCGCGCTGGAGTAGACGATGCGCGCGCTGACCATGGACGTCGGGATCATCGCCCGCTCGC